AGGGCTTGGCTGACGGAGATGTTTTTTTTCGGTCCTGTTCCTGTTGTGAGCAACTAAGACATCGAGCGCAACCTACGTCAGCCAAGAAGAAATAAACCAAGCAGCCCAATGATACGATATACTGGTCGGGGTCGCCTATGTGCATTCCCCCCCCCTGGACGGATACGCAAACAGGAACGTCTCCTGTAATAGAGGTGACCATTAACTAAATTCCAGGAAGAGTACCTATTTCCGTGTCCTTACCGTAGCACTAGTCTTAACCTTAATTTCCCATGAATTTGACGTAAAACCGCCTGTATTAAGGGGGATCCTATTCACGTATCCTGCCTCGATGGGGGGCTGCACACAAACGATCCGTACCAGTACACTTAAAGATTAAGTTTCCAATCTCACAGTTTAGCAAAATTAGCAGTTGGCTACTTGGTCGCCGAAACCGAAGGTTCTAGGTTTTATGCAGGAAACCCCATTATCCACTTTTATTCCACAGTCAGAAAAGCTCTGAGTTTTTCATGCTGATGTATTCACTGGGCTAATTTCCCTTGTCTGCAGCAAAGAAAACTGGGAGGGTGCTTCTCAGTCTGGGTTTTATTGGAAATATTAAGTTTTTAGGTGCTGGTGAGTGGTTTTTATCAACTTACAAATTTCCTTTATTTGCGAATTTTATGCAGTCACTGAGCCCTCCCTCCCTCAGCTGACATTTGAGGGTTTGCACTATCTTACATTTTATACAGTGAAAGCATCATTGACGGTGCAAAGAAGACACTGGAAAATTCGTCTGAGAGCCTGAGGGCGGCGGCGACTGAGCTCGATCACTTAAGGCTTCAAGCTGCTGAGATACGTTCCGCAATTGAACATATTTTCCTCAAACTTCAGCAAATCAAATCTGACGGAAAGCGCGGTCGCAAGCATTCGCAACATTATATGAAACACCTGGGAGACATGAAGACGACCGACCTTTTGAAAGAGTGTATTGAACGTCAGGAGCAACTTGTCTCAGACTTGAGCGACTATAACCTCAAAGAAAAATTACGTGAAATGAAAGCCGAACACGTAAGTTGAATTTGCTAACATTAGAAAATTAGGAAGTTAAAGGTGGGCTTCAAATAAGACGCAGGATAAGCTCAAAATTCTGAGACGTGGGCGTCCAATTCGAGCCTAAACCCACGGCGATGCTTTAGGTCCCTTCTATACTTTATCGACCTTCTTTACTGATCACATGGGCATGAAGATGACAATGATATTCTATTTTAACTTGGTCTTCCCCGAACTTACTGCGGGTCGCATTGACGTAACTTTCTCGGCGGAACCTTGCGCTTTTGGGGATAAACTGAAATTGTCAAGAATGGAAAGGGGAGACATTAATCTCTTGCGTACAAGCTAAGACAGATATGATTAATGTCATGTCTTTTTCGTTGCACTGATGTAGGGACTTAAAAGAAGTTTATTTTCTCCTCCTCGACATCGTCTATCTGCTCATCAGGCTGCATACTCTTGAAACTGGGCACAAATTCGCTTGGGATAAAACACGCATTGTCGGTTCCTGCCCATATAAGAAAGGCCGAGAATTCCTAGAGGCCATTCACTCTGATGATTCATGCATCAATCGACGTATCGACCTTGATACCATGTACACAAATCTCAAAGAAAAATGGAAAAGGTAATAGCCAATCAAGACGTGACACCAGCCCACAGCATTAACCCATCCTCAGCCATGACAGAGCAATATCGATTTTTTCAGCATTGTTTAAATTTTGACTGTTGCTTCACACTTACTACACGTCTGAAGACGAGCTGGAGAACCAGACTCGAAAATTTACGAAATAAAGTTTGTTCATTTTCCCAAAGGACTTATTCTTCTTCGAATTATGTTTCTTGGGATGCCCATCTTCCAGTACATATATATATATATATATATATATATATATATATTATGACAGATGGGCGCTCACCGATCAGGTTACAGAACATGCTCGTTCTGTTGTGCCTTGGGGCTCATACTTAAACCCTCGCAGGCAGTCGCACAGCGACTGGTGGTATATGTTGATAAGGTGATACCGACAAAGACAAGGGAGACCGGAATGGCCATTTCTGGCTTATTAGCCGTCATCAGCCAGTCATACCCAACCCCAAGTGTGGATCACTTGAGATTCGAACCCGGGATCTTTGGTCATGGAGTTTGACGCTATACCATTGAGCCACGGGCCCGTTTTCCTGTCGGTAGAACGTCAAACTCCATGACCAAAGATCCCGCGTTCGAATCTCAAGTGATCCACACCTGGGGTTGGGTATGACTGGCTGATGACGGCTAATAAGCCAGAAATGGCCATTCCGGTCTCCCTTGTCTTTGTTGGTATCACCTTATCAATATATATATATATATTTGAAAACAGGCATCACACGAGATTTAATTAGGAAGATGGAATTCTTTGGGAAACAGTAAGCTTTATTGTGTAAATTTTCGAGACTGGTTCCCCAGATCGTCTTCAGACGACCGGTGTGCTGCGGAAAGTAAAAATAAGAGAGGTATACGTCGCCTTCCTGTAAACATTTATTTTGAGTTCCCTATCGCCTAGAAATGGCAGCCGGCAGTCCTCTTCTTTCTCCATCGCAACTGATTGTCTAGGAAATCGAGTTCAAATGTTGCCCGAGAGCCAGCAATCGGCCATCTGAAGAACCAGAAAGCCCATTTTGCAAAAGGACTCAGGACCTTCGATGTCTCTCATCTCACGTTCACGTTTGCTAATCCTTTTGTTTGCATGCACACATCCAGCTGTGTTCGAGCTTTAAAGACCAACGCGTTTATCCTCGGAATGTTTTCTAGTCCTGTAAGTTTACTCGAGTCCTCGTCACGTCCAGCAGATCACATTCCTGCTGTTATCAATGAAGTTTTTTTCACATATACTTACTCGGCAATGTCTACTCTGACAAGAGTTGTACCCCGTAAGACCGTTGGCTATATCCTCTCTGTCTTGGAATTTGTCTTGTTGTGAGAGCCTGATTAGTATGTTTCCTGATCGCGAGCAGGCCTTAGCGATCTCTTGCTAACATATACCTTCAGCGACAACAGTGTCAAAATTCTCTGGCCAGCTGAAGGAAAAATCACTGTATATCAAATAAAGTAGAATGGCCTTGTCGACAAAAACGAGGGAGACTGGGATTACCATTTCTGGCTTACTAGCGGGCATCAGTCGGCGATGTCCAACGCCAGGTTTGCGACTCCTAAGGCTCGAACCCCCATTCTGCTGGCTAGAAGTTAAAAACTCTAGCCACTGATCCACGGGCTCGTTCGCCTGTCGGTTGCGGTTAGGTATACAAACTACGGTAGGGGACGTTCACCGATCGCGTTACGGGACATACTCGTCCTGCTGTGTCTTGGAACTCGGCAAATAAGCCAGAAATGGTCATTCCAGCCTCTCTTATCTTTATCAACAATGTCATGATGTCCATACCACCAGCCGCTGGATGGCTGCTCGGGGGCTCCCGATCGGGCCCTAAGGTACAATGGAACGGATGTATCCCGTAACGCGATGGGTGAGTGTGTAAT